AATCACCTTTTTGCCTCCTGGTAATATTTCATTTGCTTCATAATGTTTTAAATGTGGTGAATAACATCCTTCCTAATTAGCCTGCATTTCCCTATAAGGTGGAGTAATTAGGTATGATTCCAGGTAATGAAGTTGGACAGTACAAATTAGAGACAGAAACCATGTCCTTTATGAATACGGGCTGTTCGTGGTACTAGCTATTTACTTCCTTGATTAATGCTGTAAAACCACATTCAGAAAAAGAAAACAACCTGAACACCTGAAACCAGAGGATGCCCTTTCCCTCCAGAAGAGCACAGCACCAGGCAGACGTACCATGGAGGCGTGCGCTTGCATGGTACGTTGTGGTTATCGCTAGGACTGGAAATACCCTTCTGGGTGAGCGCGTGGACAGCAGCCATCTCCCAGCCGCTGTCGCCTGGCTGGGGCCCTTGGCTGGGCAGGGTCTGCCCTGTGCTATTTCATGGGGACTCTTCATAGCACAGTAATTGCATTGTGCTGTTGTCCCTCTCTGAAGGAAGAAGGACAAGGTGGAGTTGATAATTTTCTTTTTTCTAATACCAAGCTTTAGAGCTTTTAAACATGCTCTAGTGTTTTCTGAAGGTAGGGTCTAGGGTCATGTGTTCTTATTTTGGCCCCTACAGGCCAAATGAATAAGCAAAATGCTATTTTAAATCAAACGAGTTGTGTAGTATCACTAAAAACCTGGTTTAGGCGTATTTAGCAATTTCAAAGATTCTCCTGCGGTTTCAGAAAATGTGTCTTGGACAAGAATCTAACTGTAAAAGTACGCTTAAAAAAAATTAAATCACAGTTAATCAAGTTCTTGAAACTGATCTTGCCGCTTGCTTAGGTCCCCAGAAAATGACGTGCTCGTAAGTAACGCAGATGTAGCCCTTCTGGATGACAGCCACAGCACTCAGGCAGGCTTTTGTCAGCAGCACTGTGCGTGGTGGCTCCTCGGAGAGGTGGATCTGTTCTGCACCCAGCCCTCCCTAGGCTGCCCAGGCTCTGGTTGGCCACAGGACACCGTTGCGAGTGGGCAATGCTAACGTTGTGTTGGCCTTCAGCTGGCCGCGTCGGGCCAGTTTCCTTAGGAGAGTGCCTGGCTTTTGTTGTAAAACCGCGGGTTGTTTTTCTGGGCAAGATGCAAACAGGGAAGCGAGCACCCATGCAGGTCAGCGTGAGGAATGATCACTGTTCCCCATGCCCAGCAAGTGCCCGCTGGCAAATTTGGACCCAGGGAGGTGTCACTGGGACCCTGCCCCGTGCAAAGCTGTACCCGACATGGCAAGTCCTCCAGCTGGATCACGTGCCGAGCTGTGCTCGCCTAACGGGAGCCGGGTGGGTGTCCGGAGCGGGGCTGCAGAGCCCCGGGTGCCGGCAGAGCGGAGGCATGGGCTCTCCCCGGTGCAGACCAGGGTGCACAGGTTGGGGGAACGTCACCGGGCGCTTCTGGGCTGGTGCTGGGAGCGCGGTGTGTTACGTCCGAGGAGGTTCAGGAAGTTGTGATCTAAGGGCACCATCTTGTCCCGTCTGTGTCACCTGCTAGAGATGAGGGGTGAAACGTTTGTCCGAGAGGAACGTCCTCTTCTGCCTTAAGGACAGTATTATATCTGTGCTCTTCATTAGCATTTCTGGAAAGATGCCATTGGGCTGGGAACTAATTGTTTTGCAGAGTAGGTAGATACACACGTAGTGCTACTGTCAACAAAACATAACCCTCCTAGGTGGATGCATTGATTATATGAAAAATGTTTTTACCACTCCCTGGAGCCTATTTATAACCCAAAGTGCTTCAGACCTGCCAACAGTATTTTAATTATCGAAGATATTCTAGTGTATTCAAACAATGCATAATGCTAATGGTAATTATCTCACATTTATATAATGTCTAACAGCCAAACGCATCCCAAAGACCTTCACGAACTTTCAGGTGTCATGTGCAGCGTGCAGAAAGTCCTTTGCTTGTGCAGTGAAATGCAGCACTTACCTGCAGTGAGTCCGAGATTGGGAAGCATGGTGCAAAAGAACAAGGCACCCCTTCATTCACGGGCTGCGGAGCGGGAGCCATGACAAGGGCGAGTCAGTTTCGGGTGCTTCCCTGGCTCCTCTCACAAAGGTGCTGCATGCCCTGGGCAGTGACAGCCATCCCGGTGGTCCCAGCCCTGCCCCATTGCTGCCTGGTTCCCTCGCTGGCGGCCAACCCTGTGTGCGTTGCTCCTTCATCTTGGCACAGCCCGGCTGCGCTGGGATGCGCGGCTCAGATGGCGTCTCGGGTCCTTGGGACAGCTTGCGGAGACCGCAGCAAATGGAGATGTGGGGAGGCTGGTGGTGCTTCCAGCACCCTGCCAAACCCTGACCTCGAGACCAAACCCCTCCAGAGCTCCGCCACCATCTCCGTGCAGTTTCATCCCCAGCATCTCGTCCGCTGGCTCGCTCCCAGGTCTCTCCTGTACAGCGTTTGTCTGCGGATTTCCATTGCCGACGGGCATCTCCTCCTCTTCCTCATGTTGCTCGGGGGGTTTTGGTGGCAGGTGCCCGGGGCAGTCCCCTGCCTCATTGCCCTTGGAGGGGTGCAGCTGGGGATGGACGTGGCCGAGCTGGCACCATGGGCGCTTGGTGGTGTCGCTGTCCGTGTCCATCCCGCGCCACCCCTCTGGACATGGTGCCCCTGGATCGGGGCGGGAGCCCAGCTCCCAGCACGACGCTGCCCCAGCCTGGCCCCGGTGCCTGTTCCCGGCCGAGGCCGCTGCACCAGGCTTCACCTTCATCTGGCTCCTCGTTTCCAACTTAATCACCCCCCCGAAATCCAGCGCTGCGCTCTGTAATACAAGTGCTGCCGATGGAACGCAAGTCGGTGGCTCGGTATTTAAATACGACGGGGTCTCATTATACACCTGATCTCTGGGTGTATAAACAATGCAGAAACTGTACTGGCGTTGCCAAGAACATTTTCCAGGTCATACCACGTCTTGGATCATTTCACTCCCTCTCATCACCCCCTTTAGACCAAAACTGCATAAAGCTTTAACTTTGATGCCAAATTGTGAATAACATTAGTTTAACCTGAAATTTAAAGCCAGCGTTTCCGCGCTCCAGAGACAGGGTCTCCCCGGCCTTTTGCTACCATGCAGCTAGCAACCAGAATTTTAATTTTATAAGCCATGGTTGACTAAACCCAGCACTAGGTCTATTAGATATTATTTGATTTAGAGTAGCAAAAAAACCAAAAGATTTAAAGACACACTGCTCTCTCACATCCCTTTGTATTCTTTCACAGTTCTGTAGACATGCTCAGCGTTCCTGTTCAGAGGACAGGTTCAGGGCTTTTTTCCTGTGTGGGATAAACTGATCCTTGCACTTTACAGAAGCCACCATTGATCGATTTAAGTTGTGTGACTTTGTCTAAACAGGTAAATACAAAGCTGTTGTTGCCTACATTGCTGAGCTGAAATTCGGAGGGAGGTCTCCATCATTAACTGCTGACACCACATGCCTCTTCAGCGTAAGCAGTTTCTTACGAGAGTGACCTAGGCTGAAAAAGTACTCCCGTGTGTCGGCCCCCCAGCTTGAGAGATCTGTCCTAAAGCGGCCTGGTTTTCTGGATACACAGCATTTTCTGCAAAATCCAGCTGTGCTGAGGGATGATCTCAAATCAGTAGTCCCTTGTGGAAGATCCTGCCCACCAGGTCACACACGTCACTGACGGCCAGCACGTGCCTGGGGACAAAAGCGGTGTCTGCAGCAGCAGGGTGGCTTTGTACGGATCACCTCTGGTCCGTGCCGCTAAAAGCCTTGGTGCGGAATCTGGCAGAGAAGGTCTGAGTGGTGCTGTTCCTCTGCAGGCTCCTTGGACAGCACGCTGCTGCAACGCTCAGGAAAATCGTGTTGTTAAGGATGCATTTGAATTCTGCTCCTCAGAACTATCTTGGCAGCAAGGTTCTATTTTTGAAACGTTTCCTCCCTCTGTCTAGTGCGGTGTTGCCATCTGGAGAAGAAATCTGATATTTACTGTTGTTCTTGGAGTTCCACCTCCTGGAGTCCTGGGAATACTGCAGACCTCAGCTTTCAGTGCATGAGAGATACATTTCTAACGCTGACAGCTGAAGGAGAAGTAGAAAACCACTGTGAATCTGCAAAAAGCAAATTGAAACAAGCCCCTGTATTGCATGAGTCCTTTTGAACTGCCAGTCTAAACACTTCTCAAACTTGTCTCGTGGCTTTTCAGCCATGGGCAGTCACTTACGACTTCTGCTAAAAATCCCTGCCAGCAGGGAGAGGGAGGAAAACGTGCCTCGGAGCCCAGGCTTCCATCATACCAGTGAGCCTAGGAAAGACAAAGAGAAATTGCAGTGCCAGGAGTGCGCACGGGATCAGGGCTGGCTGAGGGTGCTGCGGTGGTAACTCCAAGCCCCAGGGGCATCCCACCGCGGTATGGGGTGGGTGGTGCCGGTGCTGCTGCCAGCGGGAGGTGGTGCTGGACGGAGCGTCCCCGCTCCCCGACACGGGCTCAGAGCTCGGCACGGGGTGGAGCTGAGCAGGACCCGAGGTACGGCGGGAAGGGGGTGAAGCCTATGGGCAGTGACAGGGAAGGGCGGATCTGCTGGAGCTGACCCAGGTTGAGTGTGGCTGTAGCATCAGGGGGTGTACTTGTCCTCCTGTGTCCTGCTGCATCCAGACGACGAACCAGACAGGTTCTCAGGTGGTGCAGTAAAGGTGATGCAAGCAAAGATGCGACCGTTATCCTTTGTCCTGCCTTTAAATTAGGTGTGAAATCATTGATGGCAAATTGTGTTGAGGGTTGGCTGTAATGGAAAACTCGTCAGTGCATCTTCTGGCAGTATGTGTCTTGCTTGTAGCCTCCTATCAAAGAGTCCTCATTGGTGTCACCATACTGGTACCCACATCTGTGCAAGGGGTGAAGTGAGGCACTCCTCTGTCAGTCTCATCATCTCGGTACCTACTGATTCTCTTGCCTTCTCTCTCCTCTTTGAAAGGTATTCAGGAATCTCCAGTACCAAATGGCCATTCTCTCCCGGGTAGAGATTTTCTTCGAAAACAGATGCGAGGAGACCTTTTCACCCAGCAGCAGCTAGAAGTGTTGGATCGAGTCTTCGAGAGGCAACATTATTCTGACATTTTCACAACAACTGAGCCCATCAAACCAGAGCAGGTACTATTGCAAACGTTCTGTGTTTTCCTGATATGCTGTCGGCCGGCAGGGGTCTGTTTGGTGGACATTGCCAAGTACTTCTCAGAGTCGCGGTAGAAAAGCATGGAGACGCAGGTGTTGTATGAAGCTCCTCAGCCCAGTGCACGTTAGCCATAAAGGACGGAGTACTAAAAAAACGAAGGAAAAACACTTCTTGTGTAAACATTAGGAAGTGTTTGGGTATGGAATTACGCCTGATCTGGGCCGGTTACATCAAGTGAGTGCTTAGAGAGCATCACAGCTTCTGATGCTTTTGTTAGATCAAAAGCAGACTACGCAGGTAACAAGGAGGAGACTTGCAAAACCCAATGCCTAATTTTGGTTCAGAGTTAGCGTGATTGTGCACACAAATTAGATTTTTGTATCCAGAAATGGCTTATTAGGCATGTAATTGGCCATTTGCTGAGAGAAACACCCAATTAGCATGTGAAGGTAAATTAGTTGCACCTACAGATTAGCAGTATGTTTGAGAAGGGCTTGGCACTAATTTTTTGGGAAAGTTCCATTTTTGCAGGCACAATACAGAAGCACATGCAAAAAACTGATGAGCTATGTCTCTCTGTGTTCTTATTCTTCTTGGGCGGCAGTCTTTAATTTAGCTGCTGAGAGGGAGGTAGGAATGAATATACTGCTGTCAGCAGCAATATCGGTCTAGCTTGCTACTTAATGATGTATTTGGCCATTAATCTTCAGTGTTCTTAATATTAGACCTGCTTTTTAGCAAGGTGGATGGACTTCTTAAACTGCAGACAACTACTCATTTCCCGTGGAGGAATCTATACATTAGCGGGCCACTGGAGATTATCTCATGGCAGCCTGCTACCATCGTGGCTCCAGTTAAGGAATATGTATTGGTATAAATTTTTTGAAAAATTACTTACTTATGCTGGAAGTCATATGGTGGAGTAGAAATTCCTCGTGCCTTTATGCTCACATCTGTCATTAGTTATTTCATTCATAGACCCATTTTCTTTTTGCCAGCTTCTGCTGTTTTTGTGGTTCCCCTGGTTGGTGTTTGCTGAGGAGCTCTGCAGATCTGAGCTCTGGCTGGGAAAAGATGGGGAAGACGCTGGGTTCAACTTTTTTTTTTAAAAGACTTGTTAGGAAAGCCAAACAAGCAGTCTGGAAGGTGAAGTGGCCTTCATGTACCACTAGATGGTGGTTATCCCATCTGAACACCGGTGGTACTGGAGGGGACAGGCACTGTGACCACTCGTGTAGCCAACCCATTTGGTGTTGGTCACCTAGACATTGGGTGGTGTTAGATCTGGCCCTCTTCAGCTCTGATACACCAGAAGAAGTCGCTACAAAGAGAGCAGTGATGGGAGAGGATCGTTTCTTCGTTTCTGTGTTCTGACGTCGCTGACTCGCGTCCGTGGAGCTCAGGGGAGACCGTCCAGCACTGAACGTTTATCCAGAGATAAACTTCTGTTGGTTTAATGGAAAGAATGGAACAATTGAATGATATTGCTGTAATATTATCCCGACTGTCAAATACGGGATATTTGGCTGTCGGTGGAGCAAGGATCTCTCTGGGTCCACGTGAGCGGCTGTGACTAGAGTGGCTGTGTTGTCCAAGAGTTAAGATCGGAGGTATGCCCTTATTAATTTGGTTCACAAGGTACTCTGCATGCTCTGGGAAGCCAAACAGATGCTGAGAAATGTGGTATGGTGATGTAGAAAAGGTGCTTAGCGGAACCGCCTTGCTTAGGCGTTTTTAAGTGTAATTACAAAAGGAGTTTGTAGATGTTTGCTTTTATGTATGTAGTTGTCTGCATTGTCATTTGCTCTCGGAGGGCTGGGCCGTGGTCAAGGGCTCGCTGCTGTTGGGGCTTGGCTGCTTCTTTCTGGTGCCATGTGAAGTGCGGCTTCCAACACGGACGCGTGTGATCTGTGATCGGCTCTGGTCCGCAGGGCTGCAGTATGAGCAACACTGCTTACCGAAGCAGTCGTGTTTTACTGCTTTGGCGAGTCAAGCAAGGCTGCCGTGACACTGAACCAAAGCGGAGAAGCTGTCTGGATCAATTAGTAAGGCTGGAGAAATCAATGAGAAAGAAAATACTGAGAATGTTAATGATGTGACTTGGAAAACCAGAACGGTGCCTGCAGTAGATTGTTGTAGTAAACCAAGACCGGTCTCCGGCATCTGGCTGCCCAGAGCGCCGCTGGCCCAGAGCTGCGCGCTGGGAGCTAAGGTGGAGATGGGTGTGTGGAGTCCTGAGCTGTTTCTGTTGAGGAAAATAAGGAAAAGACGCTCCTCCCCGTAGAGATGAGATATGGGGAGAAGTCTGGTAGGAGCTGCTGATGCACTGCTTATCTGTTTTGTTAGAAAACAGGTCCACTAGCAGCCAGCTGAAAATCACTAATCTTAGTTGGGCACAAAAACTCGTTGGTGCTCCTGCGCTGTTCACCTGAGTCGGGCTCCAGGCATTTTACTGGAGGAATTGCTGTTCTCTAGGCAAGGAATCTGCTTTTTCTCTCTGTTTCGTGGTTCCTAGGTCTCCATTCTTGCTTGTGTGCTGGGAACAGTCCCTTGGTCACGGTGAGCTGTGGCCTGGGGGCACGGGTCCCTTCAGTGCTACAAAGCGTTTGCACCCTCAGCACGCTCGGTCCCCAGCAGAAGGCTGGCTCCTGCTGCCCAGAGTCCCCTGGATGCATTTTCTGGACAAAGCTTAGGCTTGCCTGTTGGGCAGCAGACGTTGCCCCTCACGTAGGGGGACGTGCGGATGGGCTGTGCAGGAGTGCTTGCTCACCGCTGCCAAACCCTTTACCTTGAGTGCTTCCAATCTGTTTCCTGTACTTCTCCATCTTTAAGGTCTTTCTCCGTTCACCTGTATAAAATGGAGACTCAAAACTTATTTGTCACCTCAGGATATGTTGTGCTATTGGCAAGCATCACCTGAGTTTTCCCGTCTGCTGTAGGCTGTGCCTGCTGTAGAGAGACCCACAGGGGGTGGGGACACCCACAGTGTCTTTGGGGAAGGGCTCATACAGCGCTGAGGGAGAAGGCAACCGCTGGGCAGCGACGGGAAAATAAAATACCAGAGCGTCCTTTGCTCAGGAACAGTGCCCGCTGCATGCGCTGGGTGAGGCAGGGTCCCCCAGCGGGTTCCTGTAATTAAAGACCCTGTCAGGCTGCGTGCATGGGGGGCAGAAGTAGGGCGCCTCCTGCTGTGCGCCCGCGGTGCAGCCCTGCGCGCTCAGGCGTGTGCCCTGCACGGGGACGTGTGCCGGCACGGGCAGTGGGGGGTCAGCAGCAGGGGAAGCCCAGCAGCCGGGAGCTGGGAAGCCTGAGGTTGAGGGTCGGCTCTGCACACCGAGCCCCGTCCTCTCATGCCTGTTTGCTACCGGGGAGTAACCAAGGCATAAAGTCAGCGCTCCAGAAGCACCCTGGCCCACCTCCCCCTGACAGAAACCTGCTATGAACATGAATCCATGTCTAAACCAAACGCCTTTCCCTCACGTTTGTGCCCTTTGGTGCTCATTTTTTGCAAACAGCCTGTGATCGATTTGCACTGGCTGCAAATGCTCATGGAAACTGATTTCACGTATTTCTGGGCACGGATTTCGAAATGCGCGCAGCAGTGTGTTTGCAACACCACCGTCCCTGCGCTGCCGATCTGCTCGCGGCTGCTGGCCACCAGCACGGTGCAGCTCTTCCATCGGCTGGGACAAAGCCCACGGCCCGAGCGTCACGTAGTCCCCATGCCCTGGAGAAGGAATGCCTTCCCAG